ATAAAAGGTCCCTTTTGAAATGCTAAGTTTCAAGAGTCTTTACTTTCTCAAATGAGGAGGAGGAGGAGGAGGAGGAGGAGGAGGAGAGGCCGGGCCTTACACATGATCTTGAAACCGCCTCTGTTGATGCAATCTAGGACTGCATTGGCCTGTGAAGTGCCAACCCTCCCGGAGCAGACCAGATACCTGCGGCCTCTTTGCTGCTGCATCGCTTGACATGCGGTCTGCATGAAAACCAGCCCCTTCAGCTCAGGGAATTCCAGAATCTCCAGGTAATCTTGAAGCACTTTCCAGTCAGGCACAACATAGTGAGTGACATCATCGGACAGCAATTTCCCATCTGAAGCAGGAAAAAAATTATTAGCAATGTATATAATGATGTTCTCAGGTGTGAAGATGACAGGCAGGGGAGTCCTGAGAGATTTACAATTTAAAATGGGATAAATTTCACGTATCCCATCATTTTAATTTACAATGATGGCAAACTTATATGTGAAGCCACGTCCTCTTCTGGGTTTCTGGAGTGCATGCGTGCTCGACCATCAGCTTGCCTTCGTGCATGCAGTGGGGCCAGAAACTGGAAATCTGCATGCATTGCGGGAAGGGCAGCTGGTAGTCGCGCGTGCATGTGTGCCAGTAACTGGAAGACTAGCTGTCTGATGCGCATGTGTGCGGTGGAAGCCAAAGCCCATTTTCCAGCGTGCGCATGCTGCCTCAGCAGCTCCTCTTCTGGGTTGCGGCCCAGACGAGTGTACGTGCGCGCATGCTCCCTTTTCAGCCCTTGGTGTTCGCCATCACTGGGATAAAGGAAAAAAGCTGAAAGAAGGGAAGAGAAGGTTAGGTTTAAAAGTGTACAGAAGGGGGAAATTATGCAGTTTTTAACTTTTTTAAAAAACTTAGAAACGGAGACCAGTTTCTGGGAACGTAGCAGGGGGAAATGTGATTAGCAATGACTTCAAGTTTTTTAAAACATTAATGACAAAGAGAAGGTAATAATACAGCAATGATTACTGGAATTGAACCCATGGGAGTTACAAGTAGACCCGTGATGGCAAACCTATGGCATGGGTGCCAGAAGTGGCATGCAGTGCCCTCTCTGATGGCACATGAGCCGTCTCCCCAGTTCAGCTCTGCTGTGCATGCCTCCTGCCGGCCAGCTGGGCTTCAGATCTCTGCCACGCATGCGCGTGGGGGGGAGTCAGGGTGCATGCACGTGGTTGCATGTGCATGCATTGGGGCAGGGTGTGTGCATTTTGGAGGTTCGTGCGCGGGACCGCACTTGCATATGTGCGCATGTGCACTTTGGGCACTCTTGACCAAAAAAGGTTAGCCATCACTGACCTAGACGATATTATTAAAGCTATTTAACAATCATCCTTTTGGGAGAGGAGAGAACATTTATTCTGCTGTCAAGGCCATCACCCATAAAATGGGAGGGTTTGCCTACAAGTATAGAGCTGAGATGGTGCAGTGGTTAAATACAGCACTGCAGGCTACTTCAGCTGACTGCAGTTCTGCAG